CAGGACGAAGAAGTTCTTAGCTAGTCCAATGGTTTTTGAGGGGTCACGCTAAGAACAGCTAGTGAGGTTGTTAGTGAAAGCGAGTCCTGGCTAATCCCATTAAAACTAGTCCAGTCAGGAAACAAACACGGGACTGGACTAATCTTTAGTCCAGTCCAGTCTAGTGAACTTTAGTGAGGGGAAACAAACACCCCCATAAGGCTTTACAAGTGTGATATTTAATCTTTTAATATAATTATAATTGCACATTGTTTATATATATCTCAAGTACTCGAAGAACTTAGGCTCCTATCCTTCATTTTTTTTTTTTAATTTCATTGATTGAAAATTTATTTTATTTTTAATTTTTTGTCAAAGTTCTTTAGTTTTTATTCATATTTACATGTTAATAGGATTTTTATCACATGTAAAAGTAGAGATAAAAACACTTAAAAATATTTGCAAGAGAACACAGTAGGTGTAGTATAAACGACTCAAGTAAGGTAGTTCTCCACAAAGATTGAATGATTAATTTGTGTCAAAATCAAATCTTCAAGTTGATATCGAGCTCTTCACAGCATAAGTTGGTCTGCTCATAATAAAATTTTGCAACTTCAGAGACATATTAACGAGAGAATATAAAAAAACAAAAACGAAGAATAACACAAATTTGAAACATGATACTTATAGTCACATAAACGTCATTTTCTCTTATCACGCTTGTAGTTTCTTAACAAAGAAAAAAGATGATGAGAAGACATAATATCAAATGTGTTAAAAAAACATTCAAATTGAAGAAACTAAATTTATACTTAGAAGAAGAAAAACGTAAACATAATTCCTTAAAAGCAAAATCTCAAACAAAATATATCACTTCAAGCGGATTTCTTGAATGGTATTTAGTAAGAGGTGTCTCGAGAAAATATACTAGTTACTTTCGAGCTTTACAAACCAAATATACTACTGCTTAAGTTTAACTTATTTATTATCGAGTCGAACATAGACTTGAGTTGCTAGAAGCCGTTTTGATCCGATTTAAAGGCCTATGTTAGCTTTTTTTTTTTTTTTGGTTGACATTGCGGCATAAGTTCGAAAGAAAATGAAGATTACAATAGAATATCATGAAACCATGAGACTCCAGCTATAATTACAGCTAGCAATCGATGACAAGAAGGAGGAATTTGTATAAAAAATACTGGATTCAAACTGCATAACAAATTCAAACGAGCCAAATTATCAGCAACAAAATATTGGACCTTAAAGGCCCATATTTTGGAGAGATTATGAGGAACCTATATGTGATAGCCCTTCAAATGAGAAATTTTTCATTGTGATCGGAATACAGATGGTATATCATATGTTTTTTCTATAAGTGGTAAAAAAATTTATTTTTTAAGGTATCAACTTTTTAACATACATATCTCATCATTTGTATAGTAACACGTGATTTACTATCTCGTGTTCTGGTTACATGGAAAAATCTCTCTATTAAAACATCAATATGATATGCCACGTAATATAGTAGGCGGTCTACCTAGTAATTGATGATAAGTTAAAAAAGCAATAATGAATGATACATGCTTAATTAATTAATTAATTAAGGTAGTGGAGAAAATGATTACAAACCAAGCGTGGTGAGGGTCCCAGCCCCAGGGAAGGAATCAAACATCGATGGATTAAGCTTACAAGCAAAGACTAAAGTAATAAGATCATTATTAAAGAAGATGTCAAATATGTTATATAGACATATAACAGTAATAAATAACATATCATTTACTTTAACCTAGATATTAAAGCTGAAATAGAAAAAAAGGCTAAGCTGACATGCATAGACAAAGATATGTCAAAGTTGAAACTGCCTTCAAATATGGTTTTTGTTATTTCCAAAGACATTCCACTTACGTTACCTTAAATTCTATCATATTTAAGTATTATTTTATTATTTTTAAGTGAGATGTCTTAGGTTTGATTCTTGTCAAATGCGAATTTGAACCACATTATTGCTAACTTATTGTGAGGTTATGCACATCCCACTTCCCTTTAGTATAGATAATATCGTTTGTTTCAAAACAAAAAAAACCCAACAACTCCCCAACTTTTATTATTTTTGTTTAAAAAAATAACATAAATGAAACAATAAATTTTAGCATATCAGTTGGAAGAAAAATATTAATAATATATCAAATTACCAAGTCAACCATCAAATTGAAATCTAATGTTTTAAATTTGAAATCTCATTTGGAGATCCTCTAACGCTTTGGCTTTGCATTCGTGCAAAAGTGATTGATTACTGCCTAAATTACTGTCAACTCTCACCCTCTCACCATTTTTCCTTTTAAAAGTAAACTAAAATTTATATTGTTTGAAAAAAAAAAAAACGTGAACAAAAATTTATAAACAAGCAAGTCGTAAATTATCTAGGTAATTGGGATTTTTTATTTTTTTATTGTTTAAACCATTCTTCTTTTCCCTTAGTGTAAATTAATGATATCACTTGATATCCAGTGTACTAAAAAGAGAAAATTTATAAACCAATGACGGAAAGGTATCATAAATGTTACCAATATTTGCAAGCCTTGTTCCCATGTATGTACCATCTATGACTGGAGAGCTAAGTGCAATTGTTGGCGTCACTTAATACTATATTTTAATAGTATTTCTTTTTATTTGTAAATAAGAGATCTTAAATTCGATTCTCGTCAAAATCGAAGTTGAACCATATTATTATGTCAAGCTCATTGTAAAACTTAGCTCACTCCCTCATTCATTAGTATAAATATTATCGTTTGTTAAAAAAAAAAAAAATATGCAATCACTGGTCCTCCTCTTGGTACCTCGATCTACGTACCTTTTTCCTTTCCCTTTTTTTTCTCAATGGTATCTAATATGCCGCCGCAATATGTTTATAGGGTCAAAATTGGAGGACTCGCGTCCTTTTTACACATCTTTTGACACACTTTCTTTTAGTTTTCATTTTGTAACTTTTTTTAAGAATTCGAACTGTTATATTTAAATTCTTCATTCATATACACCTATACAAATTCACAATTATTAAAACATCATTTATAGCGAAAAATAAATAAACGAATACGATTCTAAAACGAAACGCTAAAAAAATGACTACCATTTATTTAATGATAAATATGAATTCAAATTTTGGTAACTCCTAGTAGGGACAACTTTTGAAAAGGCCTTATAATTAGGGAATTGCTATTAGCACTCTAAAAATTTTATTTTGCACTTCAAATTTTATGTAATTAAAAAGAAAAATACATTTATCAAGAGTAGAAAATAAACTTTTTAAAGTACTAATTACAGATTTCTAAAAATAAATAGTTGAATCTTTAAAATATATTATGAAGTATACCTTAAAAAATATATTAAACTGTGTTAGAAAAATGTGCGTAACCTATAAATGCGCGTGCAATTTTGGCATTTGTAATAAAGGGCGGATCCTTTTCCACTAAATCATCTTCATCAATTAATTCGAAACCTTAAAATTTGATATAACGATTACAAATAGATGCTCATTTTAAAAATTATAATAACTTTAACCGTTGAATTAAATTTTAAGGATCTAAATTATTTGATGGGAAGAATTTGATGGAACGGACCCGTAGATGATCCTTTTTTGTAACAAAGGAGCGTGACATTAGTAAACAATTGTTGACGAACAAAATGGTCCAAGTCACTCCAACCTATAATTCGAATTGTTTGGTACCAAGATGTTTTTATTTACCTCGAAAACGCTGCCCAAGAAATCAACAAAGTGGTCCAAACTCTTGAGAGATTTTTTTGTGTAATCAGAACACGGGATAGTACACCATGTGTCACTATACAAATGATGATATATGTGTGTTAAAAAGTTAATAACTTAAATATTAAAATTTTCTATCACTTATATAAAAATACGTGTTGTACCACTCGTGTTCCGATCACAAAGAAAAATTTCTCCTAACTCATATTTAATTTTTGGTTTTTTTTTTTTTTTGGTAGTAGAATGGTTAAATAACGATTTTTTTTTTTTGTTATTAACCAAACGAGCTGTTATTAGTATTTTAAAATAGTTATCAAAGCAAAACATTGTAAAATAAAACTTCTAAATTTATGTTCATTGTTCTCAAAATATCAAAAAATCATATAAAATACATTAAATATGTCGTATGAGGGAGGGAAAGGGGAGAAAGAGAGGGGGGGGGGGGGGGGGGGGGAGGGGGGCTGGTGGTTTGGGAACGAAAAAATGTTGTCCTTTTTCATGTATCGTGAATTCAGGTTTGGAAAATGATTTTTAGTATTTTTTAGTCTCTCGGGGAAACCAAAAAATACTATCGATTACCATCTTTTTATGACAAATATGGTCTCATTGATAATTTTAAATGACCATTATATCCTTCATAAAAGGTACTTCCTATTGTTGCCTAACATAAGAGAGTAATTTTGCATTTTCTTCCGAAGAAAAAAAAACATGAGAAATCTTTCCTGTAAATTCTTTTTTGCACACCAAACGCAACCTTAATCCTTTCTCATTTCTTTCATCCAATTTACTCATGGGACGAGAAAAAGTTTGCTGCCAAGTTTAGCATAAGTAATGATGCATTTGCACGCACTGATGAGATTTTTATATGCAAATGTGTTGAAAATTCCTTTATACATGAATCACAAATTCGAAAAAGTTGAATTTTGAATAATCGAACCGTTTATCTTTTAGAATATAATTCATAGATAGATTATCTTAAAGAAAGTTAAAGTTTCACTATAAATAATTGGAAAACATGAAAAATCCAACTTACTTATAAGACCACACAATAAAACCCTAAACACTTAATCCAACCAACATATGATTACAAATATAAATAACTTTTGGAAGGCATGACCTCTAAGGAAAAACCTAATGACAATCAATTCGAATTGAACCGTTAAAAATATTACACAGTGAACCCCACAAATATACTGACAACAGCTGCAAGGACCAGAACTGAACAGATAAAAAACATAAAGAGAAGGGAGGGGAGGGGACCAAATTTACACAGAATCTATAATTTTACAGCCACATCACAGCAGACATAACCATATGCTGTCAAATGTTTCCCCCATCACAGCAGACAGCACATCAAAGATTCATCATCCATCATCTTTCACTATTGTTTACAATCCAAAAACTAAAATTACGACAAACCCCATTCACTAAAACAAATATGAATAAAAATAAAAAATAAAAAAACCTTCAGGCACATACAATGCAAGAACAAAAACAAATATCAACCAGAAGAAGAAAATAAATAAATGAACCCTGTATTTAAACATCAGACGAGTCGTTTATTCTGCTGCAGATGAATGTGTTTCTATTTGTTCATTGGAAGTGTTGAGAGCTAAGCAGCGAGCACCGGTGAAACGGAGAGAGAGCATGAATTAAGGCATAGAGTTGAATGTGTTTGTTTGCTGAATCAGATTACGGAGGGCTTGGTCTTGGACCTGTAGAGGAGCTTCTTCTTCTTCGAGCTTTGGTTATCGATGGTGAGCACAACCTTGCCCGCCTCGCCAATCTTGTAGGTGTTTGAGATCACCGGCTCATCCGCTGCTCCAACCTTCCTTGTCTTCTGCAAGATTATGGTGTAGCTGTCCTCCGCGCTTGGCACGAATTCAGCTCCATAGCTCACTTCCCACCCTAGTACTCTCACTTCCCACACCAAAAACTCCCCACACTGCACCAATACACAAACTTTTACAATTAATACAAACAAATTTACATAAAATAACAAACAATAATTACTAATAAGATAACATACCTCAGACACGGGGATTTCGACGGTGTGCTTGGATGCTGGCTTGACGGTAACCTCAGTGACAGGGTCCGATGTGGTGAATTCGTGCTCACCTTCAACACCTTCCTTGCTTAGCCCACCATACTTGACTGGCACATGCTCTGGGCCTATATATCTGCGTAATCATGTTTTCTCTAATTTAGAAATATTAATTACTAATTAGAGACAAATGAACTGAAAAGGACGGAATTAATTTACTTGAAAAGGGTATCAGCAGACTTGGAAGGACCAGCAAATACAAACTTGCTCTTGGTCCTCTGGGTCAGGAAGGGGCTGATCATCCTATTAAAAGCAAGATACCACCATGGCACATTGATAAACACCTTCACAAAATCAAACCCACAAAATTCGAGTTCAATTCACTTGATCATTAAGCACATAAATATTCACTCGGGTCATCAGGTGACCAAAGAATGCATGTCACTTACCCTCGGATTTGATTTAAAATATGAAGAATAAAATGAACATGCTTTTTAGTGTTATAAACTTCTAATATCAAATCCGATTAACCAGGTGAACAAGAGAATGAGTAAATGTGTCGCTCATTTTTGGATTCGATATAAAATATGAAAAATAAATAAACATGCTTTTAGTGTTTACACAATTAATCTGAACTCCTGATATCAAATCCGATTGACTAGGTGGCCAAGAAGACGAGACAATGAATATAGATGAAACAAATGAATTACTACAAGTAAATAAGTAGAGTACCTGTTTGGCTACAAACTCAGGGTAGTTATCTTGAAGCAGCTGAAGGGCCTGGTTGGTGACCTGATTGTGCTCCCTGTTGAAAAGCCCAGGAAAGTTCTTGAGATCATTGACCTGAACGATGGTCGAAATCCCGGTCGGATTGAAGTCGAACTTTCTGATGCTCTTCTCCAAGAACTGGATCCTCCACTTGATGAACTTGGAACGCTTCTCTTCGTCCGTAAAAGTATTCTGGTACAACTCCTTGTTCTGGAACTCCCCGAACACGTTGTAGCACACAGGGTGGCCTTTCTTGTCGACTCCATGAGTGAACACCACCTTGTCCCAGTGGCTTCCCAGATCTTCCTCCAGCAGCCCCTCGATGCCCCACTCCTTCCTCCACCGCACGGTGTTCTTGATCATGGTGAACGCCTCCTTCACCTTGAAATCCCTCGCCCTCAGGAACTTCAACAGAACCACGTCGCTCCTTTCGTCTCGCAGAAGCGGAATTCCCCATATGTCCACCTCCTCCGGTGCGACAGGTGGCTTAGCTGGAGCCTCAGCTTCTGCTTTGGTCTCCTCCGCAGCTGCAGCAGCGGGAGCGGCCTCTGTAGCAGCCACCTCGGTCTCTTTAGCTGGGGCTGCTTCCTCCTCTGCAGCCGGAGCAGGGACTACTGCGACGATGGTCTCTTCAATCGCCTCCACAGTCTTGGCGCCGTCATCATCAACAGTCTCTGTAACTTTCTCCACCACAGTCTCCGTCACAACCACCGTCTCTTCCTCTACTTCTGGTTTTTTTCCCTCTTTGGCTTCTTCTACTGCTTCTGCTTTTGCTTCTTCTTTGGCTTCAGTAACGGACGCGGAGGCTTCTTCCGTTTTGGGTTCTTCTTCAGCTTTGGGTGGTACTTCTTCAGTTTTCTCCTCCTCCTTTTTCTCCTCAGTCGCCGCCACCACAGGCTTCACCTCCTCCTTGGTGGGCGGCGGGGCAGTGAACTCGTGCTTGTTAAGAGTCTCCTTAATGAGTTGTTTCAGCTCGTCAAGAGCCTTCTTCTGCGGCTCAGGAAGCTCCCCGACAACGTAGCTCTCCTCCTTGAAAGAAACCGACTGAGCGATGACTTTCTTATCCTCGTCAGCCTTGGGGGCAGCTTTGTCCTCCACCTCCTCAGTCGTCGTCACAGCCGGCTTCTCTGCCTCGGCCTCCGGCTCTGGAACCGGAACCGCTTCTTTCTCGGTCACAGCCTTGTCCGCAGGCGGGGCATCAGCCACCACGACAACTTCCTCGGATGGTGGTGCTTCTGGCGCAGCTGCAGCCTCAGGCTTCTGGTGTTCCTCAGCCATATCAAATAATTAATTATCTAGAGAGAGAGAGAGAGAGAGAGAGAGAGAGAGTTTGAGAGAGGAGAGAGATGGGAGGGGGATTAAGAAGGGGGAGGGGGAAGTGGAAGTTGAGGGTGTTGAGGGGGGAAGAGGAGAGAGTGGGGAGAGGGGTTGGATGGATGGTTGTTGATGTTGGTGGTGTTGTCTATGCAAAGAACCAGTCTGTCAGACCGGTTCGCCAGCTAGTACACCACTTTGTTCTGTGGGGCCCACCCCTCTCCCTGTAAGTTTTCTAACTGTTGTTTCCTAAGATATCCAGTCCAATGTACTTTGCCCCAAATTTGTCTAAATGTCGATCTTTCTTCTTCTCATATGTCACTGTCAACCCTGCCCTCTTGTTCATTTTTATATTTTTCTCTTCTCATTCAAGTTATTCTATTTGGTGTGACAAGTTCAAATTTATTAAATTATTGTAAACTGATTCAATGGTTGGGAACGAATTTCAAATCTGTATTTAATACAACATGTTTTGAAGTTGATTTTTAGTATTGATAAATCATACAATGGCGATCAGAAAAAAGTTTAAATGCTTATGTAAATCTTATCAACCTTCAAAATAGTAAATTGACGTAACGAATCTACTAAGTGAGTTCCCTTTTAAGAAAAACCAAATAAAAAAAAAGTTGGGAAATTCTATTGCACTTTATGTTATATCTCTTAAGGGCAATCATCTAAGATTATTAAGAATCGGTTGTGATAAGAAGAAGGATGTCAGTTTAGTGATATTTATCTTTTTATTTAAAAATAAATAAAGGTACTACATCTGACTTTTATGAGCATTAATAATTTTGAAAACTTTAATCTTGGTTAGGTCATTATGTTTTTAGACTATGTCTACCTCCCCGATTTTGTTGTATTTAAAATTTTCAATAAAAATAGCCTTGATAAAACAATGATTTAAAATAAAATAAATTTCCATTATTTATGCTTTAAATCCAATAGGACCTGAGGTCGATGGCACTGCAATTTGTTCAATATATATGAATTATTATTTGATTTTTTTTAGAGGTTACCTTACTTACCTATATAAATAGATAAATATTTTTTTTTGTAAATTTATTATTATTATGAAGATGGAGAGTTCATAACTTTTACAATAATTTAGTAGATCAAAAAATTTTAAACCGAGGACGCATGAATATAAGTAAATAAATATTAAATGTGTGCATACATATTATTTAAAGAAATATAACATAATCTTTTAAGTGATAGAACGTTCTAATTTCTACCCTCACACCAAAGACATCAACCCTTCCCTTTCCACTTTGTTGAACAAAAGGGAAAAGAAAAGCTTTATCTTTCACTATCCTAAATGGATAAAGTCATCTTACGTTTAGTCTTTATAGGTTGCCGTTTTTTTTTTCTTTTTGCTTACAATTTTTAGTAAAGAAAAGCATTTATTTCAGTCGTATGAGAAATTTTCGAGTTTGAACATTAGTTTGTCATTACGTTACATAGTATTACTAAATCACGTGCATAAAATTAGCATATTAGTACTCCACATAATAATATACTAGCCGTTTTTTCTAAAAATAAAAAGTTGTGTACCACTATTTAATCATGGAGATAGATCCGTAACGCTACTTTTTTTAAACAACTTTTACATATGTTTTTAGGGTTTATTTGTAGAACCATATTCGTCAATTTTCTTTACTACAAATGAATGTCTAAATGTTTGGGATTTGTTTAATTTGTTGCAACGACGGTCTATGAATGATATTCTAAACGATGAGACGATTTGGATCATTAAAATACATTATGAATTGGATCCCACAAAAACATGTATACAAAATTGCGTAAAGAAAATGGTTTCATACATCCGCCCCCTTTAATCATTACAAAAATGTGAGATTAAAGCTTATTGATTTTAAATTAAAAACATAACATCATGGATCCGTCCCCTTTGATCATTGCAAAAATGTGAAATTAAAGCTTATTGATTTTAAATTAAAAACATGATAGGACTGTGAATTGTGAATTGTGATAAAAATGAACAAGGAAGGGCTGCTTTTTCTTTCCGTTTTATTTCTCTTTTGTTGGTGAATGCACATGCAATGCAAGGATGGAGCCCTTTAATCCTCAATTTGTGGAGAAAGTTGGTAGAGTCGCGACTAATTGATGCAAGGGCCCTTTTTTATATTTTTTTTAAAAAAAAAATCTTAAACATTAACCCAAATAAGAGAAATGTTAAGGGGCTATCTCAGAACTGAGACTTTCATAAATTTTCTATAACCTCATGTTTTAATACAGTGTTTTATAACGTTAACATAAAAATTGACGTTAAACTGTGAAAAAATAGAAAATCTATAAATAATCTTACTTTTAAGAAAGTTCACTTATCATTTCTATCCAAATAAAGAGATAAGATGATTGGGGGTATGGTTGTCACGAAATGATTCATTTGTCAATTCATCTCCTCTCACAATTTTCTTTCTCTTTCCCTTGAAAATTTTAATGATTTCACAAATTAAATAGTTCCCAAAAGCCGTCGGATTTTTCAAAACAATGGGCCGCGCACACAACCCACACAAAATGTCCCCTGAAATGAAATTTCAGAAGCCGCTAAGCACGTTTTATGAGATGTGTTATCAACATTTTCAAAACATCATTATACTCCTCTCTTATCTGACAATAACTTACATAAAACGAGTTTATTATAATTAAGAGGTAGATTTGAATTTTATAGATAGCGAGTCTGATGTCAGTTTATTTGTTATTTTTTAAGTTTGAATCTCGTGAATAATTATACAACAAAAATAATATGCTTACCATCATTTGCATTATCTCTCTAGTAAACATATGATTCACATGTGTTAGTAGGCTCTGCTAGATAAATAATACTGATGATGATACAAATAGATGGTAAATGTTGCATTACTCATTGTACACTATCAAGTGCAAAGTTTTTTTTCATATATTATTATATTATTGAATTAAAATGTTACGCGTCGATGAATTTTTTTTATCTGTCTGGTTAATCGATCTCATCGTCCTTTTACTAAATAAAGATACGATGTCAGGTGTAGGTTGCTAATCTCCTCTCCGGCCTCTCTAATTCTATGATAAAAAAAAAAAAAAAAAAAAAAAAAAAAAAAAAAAAAAAACAAGAAACAGAAATATCCCTCTTCCTCCTCTTCAAAGATTTTATTCCCTAAAGAATATGATGGCATAGATGACAAAGCTGTCAAGAAAGATTAACACCTCGGAACCTTCAGACAAAGGTAACACCGTGGTCCTCTCAGTACACGTGTCGCGTTGTTAGTAGGCGTTGATACCCAACAGGATCTTTTTCAGATTCATGAATCGTGTTCGCTAATCGTATATCGTGATATCAGTTTTTTTTAATATAATTAATGTTTAATTTTAAATAAAAATATTTAAAATAATTTCTCATCCGATATATGATGAACAGATAAAATTAATACATTCTTAAAATTCTCGTAAAGAGAATCCGATGAGAATATGGATTCCGTTGATATAACAGGCTGTCATAGGATCAAGAACAATGTCTTGTAAATTTTGTGTAGGTTTTTTTTATATTTTTAAATTTATTAGAAAATAATAAATATGGAAGGAAACCTTGAGAACATCGATCGAGCCGCCCGCAACGGATATACGTGGTGACGCCTTCTGCCAGAGGCAGTGCCAGTCTTGTCATTTTGGGGGCGTGGCGGGACCCCCTCCCGGGTCTATCAGTTTTGCTTCTAAAAGCAAGCTAAAGCCGTTGGCTGGTTGTTCTTTGCTGTCCCTTTCTTTCTTTTTGAATTTTAAAATCTTAAATTTTTTTTATTTCTTTTTGTCAACAAAAGAATTTTAAATTTGTTTTTTAGGTTTAGATTGTTTTTGGGAGATCGAATCTCCTGCACCGAAAATAGACGTGAATTCTCTGTGGCCGTAATCAATAATTGATACGTGTTAAATTTTTGAAACAAGCTAAGAAAAGTTGTTTTTGTAAGCACGTGTTAGTTATTGATTGAGGCCTACAGAGAAATCACATTCATTTTATGTGCAAAAGATTTAATTTTTTTATTTATGTATGGAGATTAATTTTACTTTGAGATGCTAAAACCTCTCACTAGAAAACAATTATTAGGGATTACAATATGTAGGAATAAGTTGGTATTGAATGCGCTATTTACGTAATTCAAAAATAAAACGTTTTGCTAACAAGTGAAGAAAAATATCATTAGACGGTGGTGCAATTTATTTCTTATTAACTTAGCTTCAATCACTTGAAACTTAGAATTAGGTCACCCAAACATGACTAAAAGTGCAAGTTAAGTACCTCATATAGTTGATGGCTTAGGGATTACAGGATGTGGGAGAATAAGTTGCTATTGAACGTGTTATTCAAGTAATTCAAATGTAAAATCTTGCTATCAGCGATGCAATCTATTTCTTATTATCTTTGTTTCAACCACTTGGAACTTAGAATTAGGTCACCCAAACATAACTAAACTGCGAGTTATGTAACTCAGGCTAAATAGTTGATGGCTTTGGGATGTTGACACTGTCTCCAATCTAGTCTTGATTGGGCGTCAACCATTAAATGCATGTGCCACTCTGCAAAAGATGATGTGGATTTAGTCCAAGTAAGCCGCCTAAGGATTATTTATGCTCGTCATTCTAAGGGATGATGATGTTCACTATTTATCATAATTGGATTAACTTAAATTTCGAGATTTGTATGGTGGATGGATACAAATATTAAATTTAAACTTATCCGATGGTAATAAGTAGGATGATGAGTATTACTACCACTGAAGGTGATAAGCAAAAATGAAAGCGTCGAACTAATGTTTTTACAATATTCAAGTGTCGAACTAATCAATTTAAAAAAAATGGTGGGTCTATATGGTTAATACGAGGAGTCTTGCAACGTGCCTTTTAATAAGGATGCGACTTTAGTTCTTGATAGTCATGTTTGAGTTCATATAGATTTTTGGACTATCCTATGTAATATAGCATCTTATTCAACCAAAAAAAGAACTAATGCAAATGCAATGCAACTTTTCCCTAGATTCCTCCATCTGGAATGAATTATACACAGTAAATTTAAAATCATACAGAT